TTTGTTGGAGTACAAATCTTCATAGTATTCTGTTATTATCCTGTTGATTTCTTTTGGTTCCGTTGTGACATGGCCCATGTGGTTTCTAATGCATGTTATTTGTGTCTTCTCCCTCTTTTCTTTTGTTAGGTTTGCCAATGGTCTGTCAATTTTGTTAATCCTTTCAAAGAACCAGCTTCCTGTCCTTTTGATTTTTCTATAGTTTTTCTGCTTTCTATCTCATTTACTTCTGCTCTAATCTTTATTATTTCATTTCTTTTGGTGGCTACAGGTTCCCTCTGTGGTCTGTTTCTAATTGTTGTAGATACTGTGTTAATGTGTTAATTTTGGTTCCTTCTTCCTTCTTTACTTTTTGAGCTAACTTATTTTAGTTAAGAGGTGACTTCAGCGGATAGTTTCAGTTCAAATTTCATATGACATTTTAAACTCTTTACTATTTTTTCCCACAAAATTCAAAACAAACTTTAGGCTGATCATGACGGAATTCTGGATTGGTGAAATCTAAAGTAATGGAGTATAGTTGGTGTTGATGTTTTTTAAGTGCTGTAGAGTCAATTCTGACCCATAGCGACCCTGTACAGCGTTTCCTAGGAGCAGCTTGTGAGCTTGAACCACCTACCTTGCAGTTCAAACAACCCTGCAGTCTGATACATTAGCCTACAGCACAACACCAGGATTCCAATGGAGCATAATACTACCTAGGAAATGATGTAATACCTAGGAAATGATGATTTATTTTCTACCACCACTTCGCAGTTGAACATGTACATACACACAATAGCTTATGGCACATAGCAAACAGGTGCTGCTTGAAGGGCTAGGAGGTTTTAACTCAAAGCTTTGTCAAAAGTAGTATTCTAAGCTCACCATTTTATAGTTAAAATTAAATAGGGATCAAGCAATCAATACATGTTTATGAATTCTAATTAGAAATTTATTTTAATTTTCAGGTCTAGGGTAAATATTCTGGCTTTAAATTTACTTTTTTAGAATGAAAATGTCAGGACCGCTGCAAGGCTGGTTCTACCTCTCTCAATAAGACTAGCAGCAACTTGAGAGTTACTTGCTATAGTGGTTTAAACACTGTTTGCTAACAGTATTATCTAGGATCCCTGGATGATGCACAAACATTTAAATTTTTTTTTCAGGAAGTCTAGTGGCACTATTGATTTTATACTGGACTGCAAAGTCGGTTTCAGCCTCAAGGCCAGCAATTCAAGCTCACCAGATGCTTCCTGAAAACCCTATACAGGGTCACTATGGGTCAGAACAGACTCAATGGCACTTAACAACAGTAACAACAGGTAGAATTTACTGCAATTATACCAACTCAGAGTAGAATATTTGTTCTATCCTCATGATTGGAAGTGTTTATTAACATTTATTTATCTGTTGTCTTTCAATGTTAAACTATTCATTTTACTGACAGACACATTTTTTTTAAAAAATGAGGTTTAAGATGAAAACTGAGATAATGGGTTATTAAAAAAAAAAAAAAAGGCTAGGAACTACTGTTCAGAATCACTAATAATAACAAAAAAATAAAACCATAAAGGTTATAAATACGAGAAACTACACTGGAAGAGGAACCCTGGCACAATTCCCTATACACAGTCAGGATTACAGAGTTTCACCAAAAGGAATTCCTAATGCATAGTGGTTACGAGTTGGGTTGCTAACTTCAAGGTCAGCAATTCGAAACTACCAGCTGTCCATGGGAGAAAGATAAGGCTTTCAGCTCCAGTAAAGATTTACAGCCTCAGAAACCCTATACAGGATAGCTATAAGTCAAAACTCACCCCACAATAAACCACCACCATCACTACAGCCTCCTTGCTACAATTTAAAATCAGGTAGGATGAATCCCAACTTTTTGAAATGTTTCCTTTATGAAGAATTAACTTGATTCTTAAGTCTTTCAAAATGGACATAATTCTAACGTGCACATACAGCAAGACCTCTTAATTCAATCATGCCTGATCTGGTCTCTTCTAACTACCCTCTGAATTTGATCTCCCTGGCTTTCTTCCACCCATTCTTCACAGAGCAGGGAATAACATCAGAACAAACAAAAATGTAAATCCAGTCATATTCTTTCTCTGCTTTAACCTCCTCCACACACTCTTTGAAAAAGCCCAACCTTCCTATTTTTCTACAAGGCCTTGAATAATGTCACTTACTCATATTCACTTCATTCCAGCTTCTACTGGCATTTTAAAATAACTCCCCAAAGCTCCTTCTCACCAGACCTTTTGTCTTCCCTAGAATGTTCCTTTCCTTGTTTGTTTAAAACCTCTAAATTATCCTTGGGATCTCAGCTTAAATATAACTACCTCAGAAAACACTTGTTCTTTCTCAATCTCCTATTCCTAGTACCCTTCTAGGCTATTACCATATGAACGTTTCCCTTTCCCATATGTATCCCAATTGTAACTAAGTGACTGGAGTGTTGGTGTGGCACTATAGGATAAGCACTAGACTGATAACCGCAATGTCAGTGGTTCAAACCTACCAGTCTCTCCTTGGAAACCCTGTATAGGGAGGGTCTTTATCAGTCAGAACCCACTCAACGGCACTTTTACAACAACAGCTATTTGTTTAATGTTTCTTCCCCCACAAAAATAAACAAACCCTGGACTGTAGGGCCTCTGACATTTGGATTGTGTCTGATTTACTGTTGCATCCCCAGTATCTGGTATATAGCAGGATTTAAGGGACTGAAGAGAATGTAACTTTACAATGAGTTCTTTCCCAAAGTAACAAAAATGAATATCACAAAAGAAACACGACTTTATCAACAACCGTAATATAACATTAATAAACTTTTATGAGAATGTTAACAATGAAGAAACTGTTAAAGCAATATATTTTTTTGATTTTCAAATACTCTAACCCTTGAACTAGGTTGCTAAACTGGGGAAAAGTGGTAATGTTCCCTAAAAAAATTCACGGAATTCAATGTGGCAGCTAAGTTTTTTGGATAGAACATAACTGAGGCTCTCAACCAAAGTCAAGTCAGCCTTCAAATGAATAAGTCATTTCAAGAAATAGTTAAAGGAAGACCACCCAAGAAGTAATAAGAAATCCAATCGGTGTTCTCTGGAACACGGTTTAGCCAAAACACATAATATTAAATAAAACCAATGTTTGATGGATAGTAAAAGGACATGCTCTGGTAGCGTAGTGGTTATGAATCAGGCTGTGAACCACAAGGTCAGCAGTTTGAAACTACCAGCTGCTCCGCAGGAGAAAAGAGGAGGCGTTCTGCTCCTGTAAAGATTAACAGCCTCGGAAACCCTGTGCAGGGTCGCTATGAGTCAGAACCAACGCCATGGCACACAACAACAACAAAAGGACATGCAAAAGAATAAGCAAGAACTCAGGAGACAAATACGAAATGAGAATTTCCCAAGATGATTATGACCTTGGAAACTGTTACGGCAAAGAAGTTCCTGAATAAGGTGGAAGCTGAGATTCATCTGAAATAGTGACAAAGCTATTTGAAGTTTGGCATAGAAGCATATACTGATTCTGTCACCTGAAATCATGTCAACTCTTAAATATTATTAATTCAGAAAATTTGGGCTTCTGTGGATCAAAAAGTTCCCTAATTTAAATCTCCAATACATGAAGTATTTTTTTAAAGGGAAGAAAAGACTTATTTTCCAGAAACCACGAATTCAGTGATTAATAACAAAGACAAAGAGAGGAAAATTATCAATCAAAATAAGTAATTCAGTGTGATATTAATACTGAGGAGCTTAAGCAGAATAAGCACATTACCTGCTTCTAAGACTTTTCAGGAAGTAAAATTGAAAGCCTGGTAATTCATCATCTTACTCTTGTTCTTTAAGTTGCTGATCTCTCCCTTTCAAAGTTGAGGGAAAATGAAAACGTGGTCATGTGTGCATGGTAACATGGTCTCTAAAACAATGTGCAATAACAAACTGAAGATAACAAGACTTCAAATGGAGGTGATGCATTTCAACAACTAACACACAGTTAAAAGTTACTATGGAGTCCTGGTGTGGCGATGTGGGCTAATGCATCAGACAGCAAAGTCATTTGAACTATAAGGTCAGTGGTTCAAAGCTCATCAGCTGCTCCTTGGAAACACTACACAGGGTCACTATGGATTGGAATCCACTTGACAGCTCTTAACAACAACACAACAAAAAAGTTACTATAAGTTTCTGTTCCACATTTATAAAAGAATCAGTATTTGTACTAAGATAAAGAAGCAAATGAACTTTCTGTAAACGCATACACTAATCTAATTTTGTAACATTTATGTTATGTTTTGTTACTGGTTCATCTGTTAATAGCTCTCTTCACACCTTAGATATACAGATATCTGAAGAAATATTTCAGTTTGGTTTTAAAGTTCAAATATGTGAAAAACAGTTTAAAAAGTAAAAATTACCTTGTTTATCTACAACTGAGTAAGAGGCCAAAAACCCTCGTCCAGAAACATGGATTCCGCTCATGAACAGCACTGTAATTTCATTGCTTTTTGATTCCACTGAATGGTTCATTTGCAACCCCAGACCACAATATTTGCCTAGGAATGAAAAATAAAACAGATATTTGATATGACTGTCATGAAATCTATATTTAGAATGTAGCCAATAACAAAATACGAATAATATGCCAAACTGAATATTTAAGTAATATAAAATGGCGACTACAAGTAATGATTAACAGTCACATTACTCTGGAAAAGAAAACGAGATGCCAAGTAATAACTACCCAAATAAACACACAAGCAAATAAATAATAATAATAATAATACAGGCATCATTGACTTTAATAAGATTCAATTTTCTGTGAAAGACATGTGTCTTCTTTAAAACAAGAAATTTTACAAAATCAGCTAACAAATAAAATTGATAGATAATCAGTGTTCTTAACAGACTCCTAATTGGGATCCCTAGATTCCTGAACTCAGGAATTCCATTCTCAGGGATGTTAGGACTTCAAATCAACTTTTTAGGCGACTGTGTCCAGTATCATAGCTCTAACTATGATCTAACAACTCACCAATGTATAACACTATCCAGAGCTTTTCCCTTGAAATTCAGATGCATACATACATCCAACTGCCTACTGAATTTCCCTTCTTTAATATCTATGCAAAACCAAATCTAATGCAAAACTCAAAGCAATCCTACAGGACAGAGATGAATTGCCATCAGGGTCTCAAAGGCTATACATACTTATGGAAGTAAACCGCCACATTTTCCTCCAACAAATCAGTTGATGGGTTTAAACTGGTAACTTTCTGGTTCGCACCTAAGTGCTTAACCACTGTACCACCAGTGTTTCTTATTGTCTAATCACTCACTAATCACTACAACTAGTCGACTCTGACTCATATCAAGAAACAGGGTTTCCAAGACTATAATCTTTACGGGAGCAAAAAGCTTCATCTTTCTCCAAGGAGCAGCTGGTGGGTTTGTACTGGCAATCATGTGGTTAGTAGCCCAGTGCTTACCCTACAGCTCTATCAGGGCTCCTTTACTGTCTTAATAAACATGTCAAAACTGGTATGTCCGCAGTACAGATCTAAGTTTAATGGGATAAAAGTAGGAGAAACATAATTAGAGTGAGATGTACACCAATAATTAATAAAAATGGATTTTCTAATACAACTGGTAACTTGTCAGACAAATTCTGAAGAAGGAATTCCAAAACTATTTTAAGCTCTGGCAGCATCATACTGGACTTCCAGGAATATCATTGTCAAGAACAACATTTGATCTTTTAAACAGAAAATTCCAAGGTATCTACAAAAAAATAAATAAAACCTACTAGAACTAAAGAGAAAGTTTTCATATAACGACAATCTGAAATGAAACAAAGAAAATCATCTCACAATAATAGCAAAAAGATTAATACACTTTCTCTTTTTAAAAAAGATTATCCATGCTTTAACACTTTTTGGTTTCATTACAGAGTAGTTATAAAAAAAGAAAAAAAGTTTAGTTTCTACCACAGATTGTATTTTCTTCCTATTTCAGAGGATAAGACAACTCCAAATAAATACAAAATAAAATTACAATGCTGTTAGATGCTTTTATATTTCTTTACCTATTGAAAAGGTAAAAAAAAAGCCACCTCATTGGAAACTGTGTAAGTCCAAGAGTGTATTTTTGCCAAATCAATTCTACATCTTGTAAGTCATAACAATTCAAAATTATGATTCATTAAACTATATAGTTTAAAACATATGAATTTTATGTCATGCAAATTATACAATAAGAAAGCTGTTAAATACAAAACTGAAAGAACTTTTATCCTAGGTATTGGTCTCATTATTAATGTTTTATGCAAAGATAATGTAGGTCCGGAGCCAGATACTGTTGAATCTGAAAGAGCTCTTTAGAGATGTCATTCAAGCAACTCATGCAACAGCTGAAAAGACTGAAAATCAAATAAGTGTTTTGCCTACAAGATGGAGGTGATGTCAATCTAGAACACAGGTCCTTTATCTTGTCTGGTGTTCTTTTCCCCTCTACCTGCTACTCAAAAGTAATAGAGTTCATGAAGCTTCCCATGGGACTTCAAACAGAAGCGTTCAATAACGACATATCCCTGTAAACAATCAATCCATTGTAGTGTTTGTGGAGATCAACTGGGTTAGCAGAAGTCAAGCTGCTCTCTTCTTTCCACAGCAGTGAAAATCCTTTTATTTTCTCTAAGATCACACCATGCCTTATGTCCTAACTAAATTAGAAAAATATTTAGAGGATCAGTTTCTATTTTGGTAAAAGTCACCTTCCCATCTTACAATGCTACTTTTATCCTTAACTCAAATATTGGTTCAATCTGTCATCCTCATTTCAAGATAACTGTTTCCAGAAATTGACCTATTTTTTCCACCCTCTCTCCAAAACAGACTTAAAAATAAAATGGTAAAACTCTTTATAATTGGGTCAACATTTCTGTAAGATAGAGCTGTAAAAAATTCAACCAGAATTTTAAAAATAAATGACTCCGTAAAATTAAGTATTTTTATTCTGGCCAGTGAAAATGTCCTATATATATTTTGTATTTTAGAAAATTATACCTGGAACCCGTTACTTTGTACTGAGAATAATTTAACCATAGGGCCATAGTGAAAGTTGTCTATAAAACCAAAGGATTCAAATCCTGAAATTTTCTACAGTATCCATATATTTCATAACACAGCTTTTCTTTCAAGATGTAGTTCTCTAATACTTTTCAAGGATTAAATAACCAGTCATGCATAAGCAATAATTCAGTCAGAAATTTATGGAAGAGCATACTAACTAGTTTACTCCAGTTGAGAAAAAATTCAGACATGCGTTTGAAATGGCTACCACATAGATACAGAAATCATGATCTATTCTATACAACCAAGAGCCCTAGTGACACAGTGGTTTAAAACATTGGCGCTGCTCACTGAGAGGTGGGCTGCTCCAAAAGACAAAGATGAGCGAGTGCTTCCATAATGATTTACAATCTCAATCTCGAAAACCCCAAGGAGCATTTCTACTGTGTCCTTTAGGGTTTCTGTGCGGCATGTGGGTTAATGCACTAGACTGAAAAGTCAGTGTGAACCTCAAGGTCGGTGGTTCAAGCTCAACAGCTGCTCCTTGGAAACCTTATACAGGATTGCTACAGGTCAGAAGCGACTCAATGCACATAACAACATGAGCTGGAATAGATTTGAAAGCCAAGAAGTTGGTTAGGGTTTTATTCTACATAAAACTGTATTTTAAAACTTATTTTTATTTAAAAACCCTTTACCTTTAGTATGATAAATTCAGTATTCCTGTCCTGCAGTCAGATTACCTTACAAGAAATGACAAAAAAAGCCCTTCAATTTCATCTTCATCTTTACAGGCATTTTACAGGCACAGAGAACATGCTATTATGTCTTGCAGAGAACCTGCACCCATACTTTAAAGTGAACTTTTAGGAAAAGCTTTTTTGTTGTTGTTGTTAATTTAAAGATATTAAGGAATTGAGAGTAGAGTCCTGGTGAGGAACTGTGGGATAAAGCACTAGACGGCAAGATCGGTTTACACCACAAAGGTGGTGGTTCAAACTCACCAGCCACTACGTGGAAACCCTATACAGGGTTCCTATGAGTTGAAACTGACTCGATGGCACTTAACAACAACATGGACTGAATTGTGTCCCCCTACAAGTTTTGTGTTCTAAATCCTAATGTCTATGTCTATGGCTATAATCAAATTTGGGCATGGGTTGTCTTTTTATGTTAATAAGACAGAATTGGTATAGGGTGTATTTTAACACAATCTTAAGAGATTGTGCAGTTCTGAGATGGAAATTTCTACTTGAAAGGACAAGTAGACCAGCCTGGAGCAGAAAAGAACAGAAGATACCTCTTGAAAGAAAGACCTACAGGAAAAATACAAAACAGTAACAACAGTCAACTGACTACTACAAGAACAAGCAAGTTGCTCACCCAGGAGACATCAAGGCACATTGTCAGGTCCCCTCAGGGAAAATCCCCTCCAATACTAAGACTCAATGGGAATACACGAGCAGATATGTGCTCTAACTGGTGACCACGTTGGTCACCGATAAGGTGAAGTGAGGGGAAAACAGCAATGAAGCTGCGAGCTGAGTCCTACCACGTTTAATAGACTCCTGTGAACCCGGGTAGAGACCTGGTTGGCCAGCAGTGTGGCAAGACCTGGGGATTCCTGGGGCTAGAGTCAGTAACATGGCCACAGAGGACTAGCATGGAGAGTGAAGCATCCAGCTGATAAGAAGAGAGGGCACATGCACAAGAACACCCACACTTGCAGATAATAATACCCACTTGACCTGGCTTCAATGACTGGATGATCAGAGCTCAACCAGAAGAAGAATGAAGAGGAAAAAAAACAGTAACTGATACAATTTGATGAACTTGACTTACTCCTATGAATGCTAAGTAGCTCAAAGAGGAAACAAATCTTTACAGCGAGGATCATTACCACCCCCTCCATTCACAGGATACACAGGAATGGGCAACTTGGATATTGGCTACCCCAAATGGAGAGGGGCTACAAAGGCAATAAGTGACTGGCTTACAAGCTTTTGAGAGGGAGCCTAAATCCAGAGAGTGTGGAGGAAGGTAGAATCTCCACTGAGTAGTATCCAATCTGTTTGGGCGGCGGGGCTGATGAAAGATGTGGATAGCACTCATGTGGTACAATAGTGAATAATTGTTATCAGGACTGACTGTGAGGATTGGAAATATAAAGGTAGACATTTTGTAGCAAAAGGAGGGGAATGGTTGATTTTGCAGTCCAGAAGCGGAAGTCCTTGGTAGCGTTAAAGGAGAAGAGCAGAGTGCGGGGCCCTACCCAGAGAAACAGTAACAAGAGATGGAGGCAGAGACAATGATGTGGAGACACAGAGCAGCTGGGGGCACTAAACCCCGAGAGGAAGAGGGGCTGTGTGCTGACAACCGAGGAACAGGCTTGCAGGATATACCCTTTGATTGGCTGATGATGCATGGAGGGGATTGTAACCATGGCAATATAATAATGGGATGAATGTAAAGCTAATGTTCTCCCA